TGTCCAACTGTCCAAGAGAGGACGAGAGATAATATTGCAATGTTTGCATTAACCTTCATCATCAGGTTTTTCTGAAATACTGAAATACTAGAAAATAGAAACTAATTGACGAGTTTGGCAGGACAAATGTCAGACACTAGGGGCATACCAACATTGTCACATCGAGGTTTGATAGGACATCAGCCTGATAAATTATTATTCAGCCAAGCTGTCCAGCACCTTTATAGTATACTCCAGAGACAATTAAAAGAAAACATGCCAATTCTTTTCAGAATAAGTCAGTGCTGGCATCTTGCATGTTCACGAATTAAATGTTCCTATTTGTTCACTAGCGCCAATTAATAAGAACTTCAAAAAATATACAATAAAATTTGAAGGATGAGCAGGCCAGGCCATCAATCGTGACCAAGTAATTTTAACAAAAAAAAAATAGTGAACATTGAACATGCCAAGTACACCAAAAGGATATTGGCAAGACCAGGTTAAGACACAGCTAAGCGAGACATCACCGAGCCCACACCGGACCAACCATTTATCCACATAGCTCAACAATCAAATCAATCACTATTAAAAAAAATCAAGTACCGCAGGAAAACAATCATGCGCCTCCACCAATGTCAAGGGCCAAAGAAAAAATCGGCATTTGACCGAACTATCTTTATCTCCTACATGGTCACAACTCAGGTACATTTATTCAACACCAATTCCATTAATCCCTCTAGTAAACCACAGTTAACAACAAGTACAAACTTAATTACCCACTTATTGTACTGTGACAGTGCAAATGCATTTTTCTTTTGTTGCGATGACTGTGCAGATACACCCGATCAGTCCTGCCCAACTCTTCAACGAACTAAAACCAACCGATTTGTGTGGATCGCGGCGAGAGAAATGATCAGATCGAGCAAAAGTTTCGGTTTCTACCATGGACAGCGCGCGAAGGTATCGATCGAGTACCCGAGGTGGCGTGGATTAGGGTTTAGATGGGGGGAGGAGAGGGAAGGGTGACCTCGGCGGAGCTGCCGCGGGCCTCGCGGAGGACGAACTTGTCGAGGCCGGTGGAACGCTCCTTCACGCGCTCCACGGAAGAGGCTCTCCCGGCCATCCAGGGCGGGTCCGCACGGGGAGGAAGGCGTTGGATCGCCCGGCGGCGGACACCGCGGCCGTGGTCGCCGAGGAGGAAGTGGCGGTTCGGGCCCGGAGAACGCGGCGGGAAATGGAGGGAACACTGAGATTGGAAGAGGAGAAGGGGGATTATAGGAGGCACTTTCTTGTTTATAGGAGGGGTTGAATCCAGCCAAGCAGGCTCGTGGGCCGTGGCTCGGGTCGCCAGGCTCAGGCTCAGGCTCGCAAATAGTCGAGGCTTGGCTTGGGAGATAAAAACTTTGCTGAACACACGGGGCCAACGATGGGCGCTGAGCGCAGAGGGGTGGGGCCCAGGATACCCTGCCAACCGCACGGCGCAGGGGGCGAAGA